CTGCCTCGGGTTTTGCATAACGGGCATTGCTTCCGACTGCGGGTTTCCTCCTCCTCCTCCTCCTCCTGCATCCTCCTCCCGCCGCGCGGTCCCCGAGCATCCTCCGCCCGGGCACGGCGCGGGCACCGAGCGGGTAGGGGCAGCGCGGCGCGGGGACGAGGAGGAGGAGGAGGAGGAGGGAGGAAGGGGAAAACCTTGGCACGGAGGGCGGAAAAGTTGATGCCAGCCTGCCTGGCTGGAGGAGGAGGCGAGCTCAGAGCCAAATAACTTGGAGCGGGCAGGGCATAGGGCTTGGCCAGCTCGCTGCCTTCCCCCACGGGGTTTTAGCTTCTTGCGATGGGCAGCGAACAAGATGCAGAGTTTAATCGCGTGGTGCTGGTTGATTCTCCTGGTTAGGAGAGCTTCAAGGTATTTGTGAGGAGGTTGAGCGCTGTCATCATTTGTGGTGCCTTCTGGACTGAGCTCTGGAGGCAAGTTTTCCTTTTTCCAGCAGCACAGCCGCTCTCGCCGGGCAGAGAGGGACCAAACTCAGCCCACAGCTCTCCGGGGCTGTTGTCCAGCAGCTGCTCCTTGCTGGAGGAGGACGAGCCCTGCTGGTGTCCATCTGAGCCAGGCTCCAGCCCGCCCAGGGTGCGGTCCCCGAGCTCTGCCAGCGCTCACACTGATACAGGAACTGGCTGAGCTCAAGGAAAGATTTACTTGCTCTCCACTCACACTGCACAGCACTCACAGCTCTCTTGTGTCAGCCATCTCTACTTTCTTTTTTTTTTCCAGCTTGCCTGAATAAGCAGTAATCCTTCCTTCTTCTCTCATTCATCAGGTGCTTCTCAGAGAAGAGAAGATAATTTGAAGAGACCAGAGATGCCTTGGCCGAGCAGAAAGAGAGACAAAGGAGCAGTAGCAGGTCTGTGCTGACATCCTGACTGATTTAGCAGCTCTCATTTGAGGTTCCAAGCTGTAGTGAAACTACAGACAGTCATATTAACCGTCTGTCTTTCAAAGCCACATGTCCTACAGACACAATTTCCTGAGTCAAATGGGCTGAGCACCCATGCGTGGCTGAGACGAGTCTGCTGGGAGCACGATAAGGACAGTGATGTATTCTCTGCACCAGGTGGTTAGGAAATGTAATTCATGCCCATTTATGAAGAGCTTTCAGGTCCTACACATTAGAAGTATACCCAGTGTAGTGGCAGGAAGCTAATGTGGTCCCATCTGCCAAAATAAAAAACAAAACACCATCCCAAAAAAGGCATAAACTTTGCACTTGAGGCTCCATTATGTGGTATGATGAAAAAAATCACATGCCATTCATCTGCTTGAGCCACTTCAGAAAATAATCACCTTCTTACCCTTCAAGCACACCTTAATAATTGTTTTTTGCTGTCTGGGTCCTGGACAAACAGGGACATGGACCTTTTCTGACCAGATAGGACAGTGGAGGCTTAAGCTAAGGTTTCCAGTTATTGCAGTACTAGAAATAGCTTGTTGTGGTAATAGAAATAGCTTGTTTGCTGGTGAATTCTCCTGTTACTCACCTAAATCAACCTGGTTGCCTGCAGCTGATTCCTCAGCAATGAATTAAAATAAGTGAACTACACTTCATGTGGGCAACAAGATCTACCTCAGGGTTTTTTTTTGTTACTGTGACTGTTAAACTACATCTGTGCATAACTGCACACACACAAAAATATCCTGATTTCAGATGCAAACTGGAAATGCTCAGAGTCATTGGTGCATAAATGCTACCACCTTAGCCTGAGCACCTGGGGTGCACCAAACTTCTGCTGCAGTCAGATATGTGAAACCAGCTTGGACAACTCAAAGTATTCCAGCACCAGTCAAGTTGTTTGGGGAAAGAAAATGTGTTTGAGTTGAATGTCTTTTTCTTTTAAGATAAAAAAGAGCCTGATGCTAAAATTGCCAAAACTGAGGAGGAGACTTCAGATAAGGAGGAAGAAGAAAAGTCTGCAAAACCTCCAGCTGGGGGTTCCAAGTCAGGATGGAAGAATTGGAAGAAGACAAAAGAATCTGACTCCGGTGGGGAAGAAAGCAAGATAACATACTGTCACTGGCTGCTGAAATCAGAACCAGAGAGCAGGCTGGAGAAGGGGGTGGATGTGAAAGTAAGCACTGACACCCATCCTTACTCAGCAAAGGACAGCAGCACTGTCACTCCCACCCAGAGCTCCAGTGCCTGGATGCTGAGTGACAGGATCAGGCAGCTCAGATTGTTTGCAGGATTAACACTGTTGTGTCTTTCCTTCTCAAAACCCATTTGTCTCCCTGGAAATAGAAAGACATCTTAGAATCATGGAGTGGTTTGGGTTGGAAGGGACCTTAAAGCTCATCTAGTTCCCCCCCACCCTGGGCAGGGACACCTTCCACTAGCCCAAGTTGCTCCAAGCCCCATCCAACCTGGCCTGGAACACTTCCAGGGATGGAGCAGCCACAGCTGCTCTGGGCAACCTATGCCAGTGCCTCAGCACCTCACAGGGAGGAATTTCTTGCTCATATCTAATCTAAACCTCTTATCTTTAAATGGGAAGCCATTCCCCCTTGTCCTGTCACTCCAAGCTCTTGCAAAAAGTCCCTGTCCATCTTTCTTGTAGGTTCCCTTCATGTACTGGAAGTGATACATAATGTTGTGCTTTTCCAAGGTGACAACCTTGGGGTTTGATGCTTGTAATGAAAGAGGAAATCAGGATACTTGGCTGCTGATCACAGGTGCAGCCTCTATTTCAGACATTTCAATGCCTTTACAGCACTGCAGTGTTCCTCCTTTGTAAAGGCTTTTCTTCAGCCCCTGTGGGAAGAAAAAACTGTGTCAAATTTGTACTATAATTGAAGCAGCTACTAGCAACAAATGTTTAGACAATGACACAGTGAGGATCAGGTACCTCCTGTACTTAACCTGTATTTTCATTCCCTTTGGCAGTTCAGCATTGATGACTTGAAAGCTCAGCCCAATCAGACAACCTGTTGGGATGGAGTAAGAAACTACCAGGTAAGGAGCACATGTCAAAGATGGAGTCACTGAAGCAGCACAAGGGAAAATGTGGCTCTCCCCACAGCTACCTTGTTCCCTTAGCCTGAAGCATTTCCTTTCAAGGCACTCTGCCTGTTTATACAGGTGCATTTTGGCAGGAGTCTGAACTCCTGCTTACTGTCTCTGGGTCAAAGGTGGATTCAGGCTGGGGAATAGCTGTCAAATCATCCAGTTTTTATCTTAACGCAACCTTGGACACCTTTTAGCAAGTCTATACTTACCCAAATACTCTGCTTTGTCAGTGCACAGCATTCTCCTCCAAAGGAATTCCATGTGTGCTTCCCCTGCTAGATATGATCCCTGTACTGTATATGCTTCATCCTGTACATGATCTGCTCTGCTGCTTGTTTGCTTAGAGCAAGTTAAGCCTTTGGATCAAGGGTGGCTGAGCTGTTGAATTCCCACACACTTTCTAACCAACAGGGTCTTTCCCTTAGCCTTGTTTTCACTTAATTTCATTGCAGCACAACATCTCTACAACAACTGTAGGAAACCTTATCTGAGCAGCTCTGAAGCACATCTTCCTCTTGTTGTTGCTTCCTGTTCTGGCTGCTTATAATGAAGCCCTGAGAGCCTGATAAAAAAAAAGCTGAAGGTCTCTCATTTGCTCCTGACAGGCAAGGAATTTCCTGAGATCCATGAAGCTTGGGCAGCAGGCCTTCTTCTACCACAGTAACTGTAAGGAGCCTGGCATTGTGGCCCTTGTCAAGGTGAGTGCCTCTGTCTGGTTCTGTGTTCTGGGGTGTGAGGGGGAAGGAATAATTAATGGGCTATCAAACAGCTCCTTACTTCTCTCTCAGCACCAAAGTGGGGCAGGAGTTGTCCAGTCAGAGCAGTGAGTGAGCACAGGACACCTCTGCTCTGCAGTCCGGGACTGACTCAGGCATCTGTCCCCAGAGAGATGGAACCAAGCTGCTGCTCTCCTGCTGACATTTCACAGCACTCCCAGCCAAGTCAAGTGTTGCTCCACACTCTGATTCAAATCTGACTCACTAAATTCTAGTCAGCTGAGCCTGCAAAGCAGTAGTATAAAACCTAGGGCACAGAAAAGCTTTTCTTGTAAGAGGAGACCTCAGAGCTCTTGCTTTAAGAGGGGAACTTATCACAAAGACTATCATCATCTACCCACTTTTCCTCTGTTGTGTGTGCTCCTTCCATACTGCTCTCCAAAAGGTGATGCTTCACTCACAGCTATACAGTTCTGCACTGCTTTGACCCAAGAAAGCTAAAAGAAACATACCTCACCATTAGAATGGAACCCAGGGAAAACAAAGCTGATTTCTGCACCAGGATTATTCCTTGTGTCTAGTCACAGCTTGCTCAGGGGTGTTTCATACCCTTTGCTGACAGTAGTTTTTAACTGATGGGAACTTGTCTCACGTTGTTCTCCCCGTTCTGCTTCAGGTTGTAAAGGAGGCATACCCTGATCACACACAGTTTGACCAGAAGGATCCTCATTATGACTCCACCAGCAGAAAAGAGAACCCCAAATGGTCCATGGTAATGTAGTACACTAAATACAGCTGTTCCAAGGTCTGTGTGCAAGCTGAGTGAAGGGAGAAGCCTCTCTGCATCATATTGCATATCTTAAGTTTCTGTCCTGGCCTAGCTGCCTTTATTTCTCAAGAGAAAATCCAATTCTCTGCCTTTTCCCCTATCCTTTCCTGGAGGCTGTCAAAATACATCTCCCTAAGCTTTCATCTTACTTGGATGCAGAGCTGACCCCTGTGCATGGGGTTAGGAGAACATCTTTAAGTGCTACTCTCAGTCCACAGCAATCAAAGCTGTACTTTTGAGGCAGGTTAAATTATAGGGAAGGGACTGTTCACAGGCTGAATACATCCCTCATCTCAATGTTGTCTTGTCTGTGACAACATGAATGCACAGTGCTGATTCATATGATCACCTGCCAGAAGAACCTGGAAGTTCTTTTAGCCTTGAGCAAGGAAAAGCTTCTATACCATTATAAGGTAGTACACATCAGTCAATTGCTTCAGTTTACAATTCCTTACCCCTCAAAGATCATAGAATTTAAGGGTTGGAATGGACCTTACAGATACCTAATCCCAACCCCCTGCCCTGGGCAGAGACACCTCCTCACTAGATCAGGTTGCTCAAGGCTTCATCCAATCTGGCCTTGAACACTGCCAGGGTTGGGGCAGCCACAGCCTCCCTGGGCAACCTGTGCCAGTGTCTCACCACCCTTAGAGTAAAAAACCCTTTTCTAATATCTAACCTAAACTTCCCCTCCTTCAATTTGAACCCAGATCTTACATCCTACTCTAACCTGCTCTTCGCTGCTCATCCCTTGCCCAGGTGGACGTCCAGTTTGTGCGGATGACGAAGCGTTTCATCCCCCTGTCTGAGATCAAGGCTCACCACCTGGCACACAAAGCAGATGGAGGGCCCCTGAAGAACATGATGCTCTTCACAAGGCAACGTCTTTCCATCCAACCACTGACACAAGGTAAGAACCTCTCCACACCATTCCTTCTGAGAGGGACAGCACTCAGAGAACCGAGTTCCACTTATGACTTTTTCTATCTTACCCTTTCAACACAGAGGAATTTGATTTTGTCTTGAGCCTGGAAGAGGAAAAACCACATTAAGGAACTGACAGCAGCACAGCTTCACCCAGCCCTCTGATGCCTCCTCCTCAGCCAGCTCAGTTCTCAAGTTTACCTGCTCAGTGCCAGCCCCATGAACACACCCGCACACGAGGCACAGCTACACGTCCCTTGTCCTGACACACTGTTACCTTTGCTTATTTTTAAACAAATAAAGCCTTTTGGAATCTATTGGAGCTACTAATAGTGGAAAAATCTGTAATTTGTCTCTTGAAGGACCAAACAGGTACATTCTCCTTGAGATGTTTAGTTCAGGATCTAGTGCAGTTTCATATACTGCACAGGGACATTTTTCTGCAGAAAGGTATCACTAAGTTCTGTCTAGAACAAGAACATTTAGAATTATAGAGTGGTTTGGGTTGTAAGGGACCCTAAAGCTCATCTAGTTCCACCCCACCCTGGGCAGGGACACCTTCCACTAGTCCAAGTTGCTCCAAGTCCCATCCAACCTGTCCTTGAACATTTCCAGAGATGGAGCAGCCACAGCTTCTCTGGACAACCTGTGCCAGTGCCTCAGCACCTCACAGGGAAGAATTCCTTCCTAATATCTAACCTAAACCTCCTCCCTGTCAGTTTGAAGCCATTCCCCCTTGTCCTGTCCCTCCAGGCCCTTGTAAATAGCCTCTCTAGAGATCTATATACAAACCAGATCACTTAACTTCCTGCAGGTACAAAACGTCCCATGTTATTTTAGTTCTGACATCAGGGAAATGGAAGAAAATAAAACCAGCTTGGTAATTTTTAAGCTACATGTGCCCTCAACCAGCAGAGCTGCCAAGCAGTGACACAGCTTAAAGAAAGACCAAGAATTCATAAAGATAACAAACTCCTCGAGCATGTTTGGAGAGCTGCATGCTGTGGCACTCAAGCAAAAATCTCTTAATCCCACAAAAACCCACCCCAAACCAGCCCCAACATAAATCATATCAGACAAACTCGTGCACAGCATTTGACAGCCAGGGCTGACTCTTTTTAATCGGAGAGACAAAAAAACCCAAGTTTTAAAATACAGCCATTGAAAAGACAACGAATTAAGAAACATGTAAACACAGCAGAGGCTTAATTACAGGTTGCACTGCTTGGTTTAGTACTTGCACACTCCTCTCTGCCTGGGAGAGAGGGAATGACCCAAGTACAGCACAGAACCACCAGCTCAGGGGGACAGGACTGCTGGGGCAGCCCCTGCCCCTTACCATGCTAATGAAACACTCTAGTACCTTGTCCTGGAGTGACTTAATGCTCCAACTTCTCTCTAAGGATGCTCAGCACATCTGCTCCACCCCAGACAAACAGAGGGGCCTAGTGGGTAACAGGTTGAATGGTCCATTAGATTCAGTAAAAATGGGGATCATTTCTAAATTTTCCACAAGTTAGTGAGAAGGTAAAGAGGGACACAAAGGAGGGGAAAAAAAACCCCAACCCAACGTGTAGGCTCATGCACCTTTTTCCAAGCAAACCCCCTCAGAAGTGATGAGCAGATGATGAACAGCAATCTCCTTGCAGTGCATTGTCCTGTCAGACAATGATCTCACAGCCAGCAAACAAAAACACTCCTGGAATGCAGAGACACCTTCATCCAGGGGGTTTCTTTAACACCACATGGCCTACAATCCAGAGGACCAGGTAAGGAATAAATTGTAGGAGGGGTGGGAGTGGAGGGAAGGCTAAGAGGGTGGTTAGGGTGCTGCTGTGCTCAGCTCAGCCATGGAAAGATAGTCTGCTATCCCCAAGGGCTCCCAGTGGAGCTTCCCTTGCCACCAAAGGATTGTGTATTGCTGCAGCACAGGTGCTTCCCCCCAAGGGAGGGAGGAGAGGGAGTGTCAAAGGTAACATCCAGGTCCCTTTGCCATGGGAGACCTGCAGCAGGTTGCTACCCCTCGCCCTGGCATAACAAGGTGGATGTCTAAAATGAACTTTTTCTTCAGCCTTAGGAAGACATGGCTCCAGCCCATGGCACAGACCTCTCATGTAGAGAAAAGCAAGCCACGTCTTCACGGGTACAGAGCAAAAACATGATGTGACACAAGCATTCAGCAGAGATGAGATCATTAGTGTCCTCAACAACAGAGCGAGACTGCCCAGCTCTACTAAGAACCACAACCTTACACGTGGTGAGTAAAAGATAACTTACTTTGGCAAGCAGAAACACACATTTATCACTGAAATACAGTAGCTGTCTTATTACACAAAAAACTTCCCCTCCCCACCCTGGCCCCACTCCCTCCACCAGCACTGTTCTACTCAACAAAGCAGAAACTTCCATTTCCCAGCTGTAGGACAACGCTTCTACACTCAGCTGTAGGACAGAGGCAGAGGAACTCGATTCCAGAGTCAAAAGGAAGCTGGACAAAACCCCACCGAGCCACAAACTCACAAAGAAACCCAAATCTCACTTGATAGAGCTCATATCCCAGCACTTAGTGCAGGCTTGTCTCCTCTGGTAGGAGGTCTAACCACCTGCTTGCTTGCAGGGCAGCTAAACAGGGTGGATGTTGTCCAGACTCAGTCAATCAAGCATACAAAGCCACATCTGATTTTTTTAATGGAGGACTGACTTCCTTCAGGGAATGTTCTCATGAGTCTACTTAGCTGAAGGCTAAAAGCAGCTTATTTTAGAAAAGAAAAAGCCCACATTCAGGGTCTCAGTTCATGGTATGCCCTCAGACCTCGCTGGTGACTTCAGCTCAGGCCTCAGGAATGTGTCTCTGGAGTCAGAGCTCTGCCATCCTTCCAGTTGCTGCTTGGCTTCACCTAGCAGCACACACACAGACCATGAGCTTCTCCAAACAATTGCATCCACCTTCTGTCCTCACTAATCCTCACCCCACAGGCACGAGGGAGCAAACCAAACCACACGCACGCGTTCCTGTGCTGCTGCCTGTCCCTACACAAAGGGACACAGACATGAGCAGGGCAGCATCAGCCACTCCCAAGAGAGCTCCCACTTCTGTCTCACATGCCAAAACTCTTCTCTACACCTCTCCAGGCTGGTCTGCCCCTGCTCTGCCACAGCAACTGGGACCTGTATGAGTGCAGAGGCTGAGTCTCGAGGGCACTCAGGCAGCTGCCAGGACAAGGACTAGGAAGGCACTGCTCTTGGCCAGGAGCCTTCCTGCCCCCACTTCCTACCCACCCAGCAGCACTGGGATCTTCACTGCCCTGCCCAACCTGTGCCACGTTCCTCCTGCAGCCACGTGCCTCACTTCCTCCTACCAGCCACAGCTCCTGCTGTGCTCCCACAGCAGCAGGGACACGCAGCCCGTGCTCTGGGTGGCAGTCCCAGGGCTGAGTCCACTAGTTAGACAACTGCCTGAGGCAAAGAATCCAACTCCAGCACGAAGAGGAAGAAGGGGAGGCAGCGAGGGGGTAACAGCACACAGTCTCTGAGTTCCTCCTCTCGCATCCAGCTAATCACCGCGTCATTCTCCCTCGTGAAGACTTCAAGAAAGGCAAGAAAAACAGCCATCCTACACAGCCCCAAAGCAACCTCCACACCGCTGGGAAGAAGCAGCAGATTTGGCCTTCACTTGCTCTCTCTCTCTCCCCACTGCCACGCTGGAAGGGTCTCGGGGCAAAGAGGAGATCAGGCAGCTCCGCAGTCTCGGGACACTCGCCTCAAAGCAGCCGACCCCAGAGGAATGTAGTTGCTTGGGAAGCACTGAGACACCTCCAGTGCTCCAGCCTGCCTTGCCCTCCCGTCCCCTTCCCACCCTACGAGTCCTCCGAAGAAAGGAATGAAGTCAAAAAACGGATATTTATTTTCACGAAGTCTCTGAAGTGTTTCTCTTCCTGGGAGCTGCTGTCCCCCCGTGGGCTCCCCAGCAGCTTTCCTGGGTGTGCCTCACTGCCGGCCGTTGTTCTCTGCGGGCTGGCTCGGGGTCTTGGCCTCGCCGTGCGAGGACGTGCCCTCAAACCGCTGCGACGCGATGGCTGCTTGGTGGGACATGCTCTTCCGCACTATGTCTCCTTTCCTCCACAGCACCACCTCCTGCAGGGACACAGCCAAGGGCTTGTCAGGGCTCGTGAGACCTTCTCCTGGTCTCACCCAGCCCTGCAGGCTAAACCACGCTGCACCTGCTGAGGGCTCGGCCCGTGCTGGCGTGTTCCACCCACAGACATGGACATGAGGCCGCTTGTAGCGCAGCCTGACTGAGAATTTGGGGAGAGAGCTCTTCCCCAGGATCTGAGCACACAGAGGACATCCAGGGTGTCTGTCCTAGTGCCGTTGGAATTGATAAGGTGAAGCACAGAAGCTCCACCACAAGGCAACAGAGCAGAAAGGAAGTTCCAGGTAGGCACCTTCTACTTTGCCTCCTCAACACCACACACATCTGACCTGCACGTGTACCATTCCTTCTAGACTCCTTCCAGACCATCTCTGCATACTCTAATTTTTCTAGTCCTTACAGACACTCAGCCAAGAACGTGATTCTCCCCCACGGGAATCCCAAATTCCCAGAAGGTCCTTATGACAGTTTCCCAATCAACAGTCTACAGGTCCAAGGAGAAGAACAGCTCTGCTTCTCACCTGCTGTTTGAAGTAGCGTCTCTCTTCCTCATCAATCAGCACCAGGTTGAGGTAATAACGCACAGAGAACTTCTTATTGATGTCCCTCATCGTTGGAGTCAGCTCATAGCCAGCCAGAAAGAGTCTGATGGGAATGGACTCCCCTGCAAAGTGCAAAGAACCATCAGCACAGACAGAATATAGACAGAAACTAGGAGAGCACCAGCAAAACAGTATCACAAGGCTACAAACTTTGTCACCATTTCCACAAGTGGACTAAGATGAGCCAGAACACCTCAACTCCCTTCAAACATCAGCATGCATGGTCCACAGCCAGATCCTGCCCTTGCTGACAGTTGTTCCATCTCCACAGGTCTCACCTGTGCCTGCACTGAGACAGCACTGCAGGAAAAACCGAGTAAGGTGACATTTTCTCTGGCAGGTGACACTGCTGGGCGATGGAACTGGAGAACAAGTGGCACAGGAGACTGGCACAGAGCAAGAACACATCTTTCTGCTCCAGTGCCAGCTGTTGGCCCATGACAACTGTGAATTTACATCTGGTTCTGCCACTGCTTCATCAAAAGAATGAAGTCACTTCAATGCATTATGCCTCAGTTCCCCCTCACCATAACAGAGAAGGAATCACCAGGAGGCCACCAGAGAATGGGATGTGTGCTACTTCTGAGCACACAGACTGAGCTGAAGGTACTGCAGGACTTGTATTCCCATGCCAAGAGACTTCAGAAGAGGAATGCTAAGGGTCCCTATGCCTTCTCACCTCTCACAGGTGCCCCATCCATGATCTCGTATTTAGCTATTGTGTCGTTCTCGTGGTACACGTTGGGCCCAGTCCCTGTTGTTTCTCTCTTGATGATATCTATCTCCATGTGTTTGATCTTGATTCGCACCAGCAGGAAGTAGATCTTTCCGACAATCACATCTTTTAAATGATACCTAGCACGGGAGGGGAGGAAGAAAGCACTGATCAGACCCTGTGCAGCAGGACCAGGGCTCAGGCTGCAGTGTGGGAACCTGCTGGGCAGGCACATTGCTCTTATCCACAGCCCCAGCTGTACACTGCAGACAGCACATCAACCACCTCCACCAGTAAACAGCCCTTCACCTTTCATCCCCTGCTCTCTTGGGAAAGCCACAAGAACATTTAGCATGAGCAGATAGATGAAAAACTGAATTTCAAGGGTGAATATCTGCAAGAAACCTCTGCAACAGCAAAGGCTCCCAACTCCGTTTTTTAGGTCAATTAAAACTAACCCAAATCACAGAATCATTTAGGTTGGAAAAGACCTCTGAGATCATTGAGTCCAACCTTTGACCAATCACCACCTTATCAGCTAATGACACACTGCAGGGAGATTTGCCAGCAGCAGCTGAGGAAGGCACATTAAGAGCAGGTTAAAAGAGCTGCAACTTCTGTGCCTGAGCTAAGGCACAGCTTCAGCTGTATTGCCTGGTAAGGAGCAACGTTATACTTTTTGGAGACATTATATTTTGGAAGTACTGATCCAGTCAAGGGTACAGGGAATGGGAAGTTACTGCAAGAGCCTCTCGTGTGCTCCAAGCTCAGTAAGCCACAGCCTTCCCAATCCTTGATCCAGAGAGCACAGGGGCAAGGAGAGGAACCCACAGATCCTCAACCAGGATTTGAGCTGCCTGAAGATTCACTGGAGCACACAGACATGGAATCCTTTGAGGATCACAGGCAAGACATGTACCTTGGGCTTCCAACCAGGTTGCCCCCAAGGATTCCCCACAGCCACCACCTGCTCTTGGGGCACTTACTTGGACTTGTTATACTCAAACTCGATGTGCAGGCAGTCCTCAATCCCCACCTCCATCTTGATGGAGGAGTTGAGCTCTGGGTAGGTGCTCAGGGTGTGCACGACGATATCCATCTCCTTCACCACGTCGTTCAGCCTGCGGCTCACGGTGGCGCGGAGGAAATACCTGTGGGGACAGTCCCCTCTGATTAGGGTTGCACAGGCAGCAAGAGATGAAGCAGGGAAGGACAAGGGGCTGCATGGATTGCACTGGAACATCCAAGCAGTGCTACTGGTACCCTGGGTTCTGGAGCAGCCAACAACTCACATTGGGCAAGACAGAAGGGAATTTTCAAGTGGAAAAAAGATTCTTCCAAGACTCCTCTCAGCTTCCATGCACTGACTTACCTAAGCCCCATTTTGGGGATCTGAGTAACAGCCTGTACATGTTATACCCCTGCCCTTTTGCAAGAGATTAGATGACTCCAGTCTTCCACAGACACACCTCTTTGTGCAGATCTCAGAGTTTTCCACCCCCCACTTTGAAGCCACTGATTGGATTTTAAGTCAACGGAGTGCCTGAATGTGAAATACAGTTTGCAACAATACAAACAAGGTACAAGCTAAGCATCTGTTTGCATCCAGAGCACAATCAAAGTTGACAAGCCTGATTACAACAAAAATATCCCAACTGGAGACTAAACCAAACAGTTTGTTTTGATTTTTTTGAGTTATCAAATAAATTACCAGGTATTTGATTGATTCAGAAGGGGCTGATTTCTCTTGTCACTCAAATGGGGCCAAACCAGTTTCAGAAAGCCTAATACATGCTTGAAGTCCTCTAAGGCAGCCTTTTAAACTCTCTCCCCCCAAATTCATCTGGAGTTATGTTCCAAGCTTGAAAGGATGTCTGGGAAGTGACCATAGAATCATCAAGGCTGGAAGAGACCTTTAAGATCAGTAAGTCCAACCATGTACCTATCACCACTACTGCAACTCCTAAACCATATCAAATGATGCTGCATTCCTGTACCATCCCAGTAAATACCAGCACCTGCACAGGACCAAAACTGGGGTCAGCAGGGGGAGCAGACTCACCGTAGCTTCACATTCTGCCCCGTGTAGGACTCATAAGGTTTCTCCACGTGTGTGAATTCAAAGTCAAACGTCTGTGACTGAGTGAACTCCCCAGGACGGGCCAAGTCCTTCACCAGAGACACGAACTCATGGTGGTTTCCTCGGTCATAGTAGAGTTCTAGGAAGACAGAGGTCCAGGTTAAGCACTGATGCTTAATGCCATGTGGCACGGGAGATTTCACAGCTCTGAGCAGCTCTCTTGACCAGATCACTACTTCCTTCATTACCATTCAGAGAACCTACTGGAGGAACCTGTGGCTGCAAGGTGCTGCACTTGTTCCCTGCTCTCCATCAGAGCCAGGTGCAGGCCAGAACTTTCCTCCCTGAAAGAAGGAGGAAAAGGTCTGCACAGCCTCACCTACTACAGTGAATCAGAAACTTGCCTTGGGGTGACATGGATCACTTATCAGCAATAGTCAACATGTACAGACTGAGAAGAGGAGCTGAAGCTCATGCAAACCCTTCCAGTAATTTTCTACGCAACAACCCAAGCCAAAGGCATTGCCACTGTGAGGAAAAAACACCACAGCTTCTCTGGAACAGCAGACAGTGACCAAGCAAAACTGAAGGACTAGAAGACTTCCAGCTGTTCCTGCTTATCCTTGGAAAACAAAGAGTTTGAGTGGTCTTGATTCTCACTAGGGAATAAACAACAGTGACTGCTGCTACACAAGTGTGTGGGGAGGCAGTTGAGTCAACTGCTCCACCAGCCCCTGGATAACACATTAATGGCCACGTGAGGGAAGAGCATTCACCTTTGGAAGCACTGATCAAACTAGCACAAGTAACCACCATGCTCACACTGCCTCA